ATCAGTTAGGTACTAAATGAACAAATTCATAGGTTTAACGCGTAAAAAAATCAAATTATACAGTTAAACGTAGATGTAGGACGCAAATCTCAATAATCTGTAATATTACCATGTGCAAAGCTTAAAAAGGTCAACTCGTAGGACCCATAAAAAATTAGTGCTCACTGATATTTTTCTCCAGTGGTCATTTAAGCTCGACCAAAAATCTTGGCTCGACCCGAACTTAAAGTTCGAGTGGAGCCAGCTTTTATTTTTTATTTTTATTTTTTAAAAAAGGCAGTCACTCAGCTACCTGCAATGCTTTCCCCCCCCCACAATAAATTTGCTCATGGGCCAGCTCGGGCTCAAGCCGACTCTCCAAAATGGGCTCGGCCAGAGCCGCGAGCCTAGCTGAATCGAGCTATTTTCTGGCTGAGTCACGGGCCACTCGAGTCAACGAGCCAAATTGACACCTCTACACTTGATAACTTGGTGGATTATGCTACGAATTTCTCTAATTTATTATATGTGTGTGTGTGTGTGTGTGTGTGTGTGTGACCTAAATTCTATTGGGTAATTGGAGTTTTAGTTGAATTGGTCTTTAAGGATCGAAATTACATTGGGATTGGAGTTTTGGTTGGAAAAGGAAGATTGAATAATTCATTAGATGAATTTTGAACTCTTGAAGGGTAGCCGTCTGCCCCAGCGCCTAGGCGCCATCAGAAGCACTGGAAACAATTTTGTCCCGAAAGTCAACGTCACTGTAACATACATGCTAAACTGTCACTTAATTACTGCGAGGATGCCGCTAAAACAACGTGCCTCGCTTGCTAACCGTTGTGCTAGAGCTCAAGCGGCGTATTTATTTGGCTCAGTCCCATTTCGAGTTTTGACTAATTTTCTCTACTCATATTCATCAACAACTTGGTTTTAAGGTTTATATATATTCTCTTTGACCTGCATCAAGCATATAACATTCATATAATATCTTGAGAGTTTTAGATTTTAATTGAGAGTATTGGAATCTTGTTTTAAATACATTAATTATTGATTATAGTGAAAGCAACCTGTTCACTGCAATGCTCAAACTTAAGTACTATTTTCTTTAACAATTATGTAAACTTAAGTACTATTCTCTATATCTGGGATACACTC